GCAACAGGAGCAGTCGTAGCAACTGATGCTTCTGCAACGGGGGCGGTAGCAACTGGGGCAGCAGCAACGGGGGCACCTGTGGCAACAGGAGCAGTCGTAGCAGCTGGGGCGGTAGCAACAGCAATATGAGCGGTAGTAGCAACGGGGGCAGCAGCAACGGGGGCACCTGTGGCAACAGGAGCAGTCGTAGCAACTGATGCGGCAGCAACGGGGGCGGTAGCAACGGGGGCGGCTGCAACAGCACTTGTAGAGTACGAAAGTTCTTCTAAACCAGTCGACGTCTGGTTATCAGGACGAGGACGGTTCTCCTCCTCGTCACAATCCAGCACAATGATATTCCTCCCGTTCTGCTGCTCCTCCCTGTCTTGCCGGTACTCCTGCCGAGAAGGATGCTGATACTCTTGGTGTTGTTGTTGTTGTTGTTGTTGACGAGAGGATACCAGCTGAGATGGTTCCCTGCGTGTTGCCTCAGAAACAGCTGCGTTTGTTCCTATGCCCTGTATTTCATCCACAGTTTCCACGAAGGTTCTGGCAAAGTCGTAGGCATCTGCAAGATATCGTGTCTGGCCACGGGTTGCTCTGACTGCCAAAGGACCTGCCTGATGTTTGTGCTTTTGCATAAGCCGCAGGAGCTGGTCTAGCTCATTGTGGTGGTTGAAACCAGTTGTCATACTCATAAAGTACCAGAACCTTCTTGCTTCAATCAAAACTGTGAGTTCAAAAAGATTCAATGGATATCCTGCATTTCGCTCCTGTTACCAAGTGCACTGGAGGTATGCATACCGGTAGGCTGAAACAGCTGGCTTCATTCAGTGAAGCCGGATGTGTGTCGTCCAACCAGAATCACGATATCTTCTAGCCTTCGCGCGAAATTGGTGCGCATTCATTCCCTCCAATCCTCACAATTTTCTTTTCTTGGATCGATCGACTTGTGTTCAGAACATCCGTCACTGGATAGCGGATCTGTTAGGCATATTCTGCAGAATCCCAGAATTCCTTTGAATAAGCCAGCGGAGCTGTGTAACCTCGGCAGAAAGGTTTCAGTGTAGAAGCAGACACCCCAATAGCTAGCTCGCCAGAAGCAGATACCTGTAGTGCTTAGCTAGTGCTTAACCTGCGCTTAGCTAGCTAGAAGCAGATCCCCCCTAGCTAGAAGCAGATTCCCATAGCAAGCTAGAAGCAAATACCTCTAGCTAGCTAGAATACTAGTTATATAGCGAAAGCTATCTTTAGAGTTTTTCCTGGTAGGAGCAGACCCCCCTACTAGTAGGATGCATGTAAATAGCTTTAGCTGGTTTAAAAGCACCATCCTAGGATACTTATTTAGTTTTTGCTGACTTATTTGTATTCTAACCCTACCCTTATACCCACAGGGACCACCGTAGCAGGAAAAACAAGAAAAACAATTAAAAAGGGGTTGAGGGCTCTGGCAGCAAGACTGCCGAGGTAAAAACAGATCCAATGTTCTGGTGACATACCGAGTCAGAATCATGAAATTTTTTTAAGCTAGAACTATAAAGGTTGAGCCCCCGCAGGGGGCTCTGAACCATAAAGATTGGGCCCCTTGGGGCCCGACCACCAAGCTAGCTAGCTAGTGGGAGTGGAACACATGGTTTTCTGGCTTGCCCTCAAAGCACTGCAGCAGAGCCTCCTGACACATGCTTGTTGGTGCCACAAAGGCTTGAGTCCTTCTTTGCCTGTTGCTGGGTCCATGAACTTGTACCTCGAATGCTTTTCCAGGATGCTGCGGTCAAATATCTCAGGCATAAAAAAGAGAATTTGAGTGTGAGCCGGGAGCTCAAATTCCATGGCTGCTAGACTGTTGCTCTGCCTTCCATCGATGTCAATGCCGTTCCCAAAGAAATTCGTAATTTGAGACTGGCCCTGGCCTGCAGCTTCGTCCTTCCTTGCAAGGGCTCTCATAACAGGGGATGTGACTCCGTGGACTGCTCCCTGTGGGAAATGGTTCTGCAGATGCTGATCCAATTTTCCCGCCACTAGAGGAGTCCTAGTCTTCACAGAGGCACGTCCTGTCTGCCGGCGCCTCTTTCGTGCTCGCACTCATTGTCTTCGGAGGATTGCGATGAAAGCGGCTATATCCTCAGCTGCGGTGAGTACCTCTCGTCTTCAGAGGATTGCGATGAAAGCGGCTATATCCTCGGCGTGCAGTAAGTACCTCTGCGGCTGCGGCTACTGAATACGGATGGTGCAATACACGGCTCTTAGCCTTATTCGCGACTCGATCCTAGATAGCTAGGGTTTGAGTTCGACTCATGACTGAGTCTCTCGTGAATAGTTATTGAGACAGGGTTCTCAATGACCGCTCTAGTCATACTAGGTTGATGATGAAACATCGCTCTAGATATTTATCCAGCGTGGAGTACTTCCACGCTACTAGATCCATGCTAGACGAATCTTCCACGCGTTCCGTTTTAGGATCGTGGAGATACGTAGGATTACTACCGCAACCTACTCTATTACACTTTATAGTCTCCCGCGGGAGACCAGATCTACGATCCTTTGATGGTGATCTCTCTCGTTGATTAGTTTTCATAGCTTTCTAATCTCTCTCATAACTTTCATTCTCTCAAACACAAAACACTCGAAAGATCTTTACACTACTAGCTTTTAGCGTAGTGCATTTTGTTAACAAACACAATAGCTTTCAGCTACCCTCAACCTATTCCTTCACCATGAAGATGGCTCAAGGAAAGCATGCGTTCCGCAACTTCGAGAAACAGTTGCGCGACAAACCCATTCTTCCTCTCGTCGACAATGACGAAGAAAACGAGATCGACGATACTCGTGCAACCACTTGCAAACTTCGCAACCATGTTGTCAAGCGCAAATCAGAAGACTCTGACAATGAGGACAACTCCTCTATCAATTTCAATCACTTGGATGGAGAGATCTCCGTCTGAGGATTAGGCCAGGATGATGACTCAACGGAACCATGTTCCGATTTCTCATACCTAAGTGATGAAGATATCTCACTAACTAGTAAACAAGAATTGTTTGCAACTGAGGAAGTCTACGGCAAATTAGATAATTGCCTAGAAGCTGCTCAACTAGATTCTGATGATCTATCCAGCATTGTTAACCTCGTCCGTGGCCAACCACCTCGTCAACGTCGCAAGACAAGAGACCTCAAAACTATCGTCTATGTTAGATTTAACAGACGAGAAAAAGGGAAACAAAAACCCGTTACACTCCGTTGCTTACTGGATACGAGAGCATCCGGAATGCACTACGCTAAAAGCTAGTGTAAAGATCTTTCGAGTGTTTTGAGTTTGAGAGAATGAAAGTTATGAGAGAGATTAGAAAGCTATGAAAACTAATCAACGAGAGAGATCATCATCAAGGGATCGTAGATCTGGCCTCCCGCGGGAGACTGTAAAGTGTGATAGAGTAGGTTGCGGTAGCGATCCTACGTATCTCCACGATCCTAAAACGGAACACGTGGAAGGTTTGTCTAGCATGGATCTAGTAGCGTGGAAGTACTCCACGCTGGCTAAATATCTAGAGCGATGTTTCATCATCAACCTAGTATGACCAGAGCGGTCATTGAGAACCCTGTCTCAAATGACTATTCACGAGAGACTCAGTCATGAGTCGAACTCAAACCCTATCTAGGATCGAGTTGCGAATAAGGCTAAGAGCCGTGTATTGCATTCGCCCCCTGACAAGGGTCACAGAAGGCGCGACAGCAGTCGGACAAGGAGAACATATGATTTAAAGTGCGGGGCACTCTCATGAGATTTGGATGTAGACATGTGCATCGCACGATGGCAATCCTACAAGGGGATCAGGCCTTGTATGGGTGTATATACCTATGTTCCAAGTCTGGTAGACTGTGCCGCCATTGGCGGTAGCATGTCGGAGCCGTACAGTGCCATTATCATTGACTCGGTCTATAGTGTAAGGACTTTTGTACTTTGGCTGACCGTACTTGCGGTGCTGATACTGTTGAATCATCATGGTATCGTTGACATTGTATTGATGAGGGACACGCGTCGCGTTTTCCCTATCGTTGTTTTGTTGGATCAGTCGTTGGCGACGTTCCTTAATGTACTTCCAGTTTGCTTCGAACCGGACGTTGTGAATCGCGTCACGATTGAACACGAGCTGTGCGGGCGTTGCGCGCAAGGTGGTATGAATCGTGGCATTCATTGCAAAGCGAACCGCCGTGAGGACTCCATCCCAGGATCCATTCACGAGGTCGTCTTGGCACTTGATGTTTTGAACAGCGATCAAGTTGCGTATGGTTTGATGAGCACGCTCGACCATAGAGTTGGCTTGAGGGTTACGCGTAGTGATGAACTTGCGACGAAGTCCATATTCATCCCGGAGAGTCTTTTCGACCTCTGCGCGGAACTCACGTCCTCTATCCATGATAACTCAGCAGGCCATGGATACCGAGTAAGCCACGTTTGTTCTAGGACGATGGTACTTTGTCTGCTGCCTTGGAGCAGATCTCTGCAATCTCGACACCATCGGTTACGAGATCAATCATTGTCAAGCAATCAGTGTGCAGGATTCTTTTTCTTAGGATCCCCGACGTTGTAAGGACCTATCAGGTAAATACATAGTCTTTCCCAAGGGATCTCCTCGCAAGTGTCTTGGAGGCACAATCCCAGCTTACGCGTCTTGGGTTTGTTCATCTGGCAGCTTTGGAACGCTGACATACGGCCTCACAGTCTGCGCAGTCCTTTCCAGGTGTAGTGTTGGCTGATGGTTAGTTCTGTGCGAGTCTCGCCAGGTGCATCAGCACACCATGGTACCATTCAACTAGCTTCTTCTGCATAGTTTTAGGTACGACGATTTATTTCGTCCTTAACTACTAAGTCGTAAGACTTATCCCTCTGTGGAAAGATTGCTTCTTGTAGTCGTTTGGCTTGTCCCTGAGGAGTTTCTTGATATCTTGTCGTCTTTCTGACGATGTTCGATCTCGGGGAACGAAAGAGGGAACTCGCTAGGGAAGTCCTCTTCGTCTGCACCATGAGCTCAGCGATCTCGTGGCGTCCATTTGTTCTGAAGAACCGTCGTTGTTGGAGATGTTAAGTCTCGACAACGCATCAGCGACGATGTTCTTTTCGCCCTTGATGTACCGTAGTTCAGGGCCGTATTCTTCCAGAATAAGGCCATCGCATTACGCGATCGGTATTGAAGTTTTTACATGTAAGATTCTTGTGGTCCGTAGTACAACGATCTTCTGTCCCAGAAGAATGTTACGAACTCTTTTAGAGTTTCTACATAATGAGAAGTTCCTTCTCGGTAACTGTGTAACGTGTCTGAGCAGGGTTGAGCTTCCTGCTGTAGAACGCGATAGGTTTTCCCTTCTGGGAAATTACTGCACCTAGTTGAGTATCACTCGCATCCGTGTGGATAACGAATGTATCGTTGAAGTCAGGTAAGCGAGCAAGGTTTCTTTGCTGATGATCTGCTTCATCTGGGTAAAGGCCTTGTCGTGTTCAGCTTCCCATTTCCACTTCGTTGTTTTGGAAGTCAACGAAGCGAGTGGGGCCAGTACATGTGATCGTCTAATCCACATGTCTCGATAGTAGTTCACTAGTCCAATGAATCTACGGAGTTCTTTTCTGTGGTAGGAGGAGCGATATTCTGGATTGCGTCTATTTTCTTGGTTATAGGTTGGATCCCTTCTCGAGTAATC